ACTCACCTCAGCCTCCCAAAGGCGTGGGATTACAGGCTGAGCCACCAAGCCCGGCTGCAGGAAGTATTTAAAAGTTGGCTGGAAGTTTTGGTCTGGGGCTGCAGTTCCTTCACTGACCCCTGGTCATAGCTGCCTGTTTCCCTTGCCAGGCACTTGTGGGAATCCCTGGCAATGAGATGTGAGGAGAACTCACTGGGGGCTTCTGGGTTGTTTTGTTGTTGCTGTTGTTTCTTTCTTTCTTTCCTTTTTTAGAGATGGGGTATCTCTATGTTGCCCAGGCTGGTCTCAAACTCCTGGCCTCAAGCAATGTTCCTCAGCCTCCTGAATTGCTGGGACTATAGTCCCATGCCACCACACCTGGCTAATTTTTTGTACTTTTTCTTTTTTTTACTTTTTGTAGTGACAGGGTCTCCCTATGTTTCCCAGGTTGGTCTCAAACTCCTGGGCTCAAGCGATCGTCCTGCCTCAGGCTTCCAAAGTGCTGGCATTATAGGTGTGAGCCACCATACCCGGCTCTGGGGGATGTTTTACTTGCTCTTTAAAAAGGAGAGAAATGTGAGCCAGGCACAATGGCTCATGCTTGTAATCCCAGCACTTTGGGAGGCCGAAATAGGAGGATCCTTTGAGCCCAGGAGTTTGAGACCAGTCTGGGAAATACAGTGAGACCTCATCTCCACAAAAACTTTTTAAAATAATCTGGGCGTGGTAGCGAACACCTAGAGTTCCAGCTACTCAGGAGGCTGAGGCAGAAGGATCACCAGAGCCCAGGAGGTTGAGGCTGTGGTGAGCTGTGATTGTGTCACTGCACTCCAGCCTGGGTGACAGAGTAAGACTCTGACTCAATACAGAGAGAGAGAGAGAGAGAGAGAGAGAGGAGGGAGAAATGTGGATGAGAGAAGGCTGCCTCATCTGCTGCTGGGACTCTGTCCTATTGGGATCGGGTGATCAGATCTCACCTGGAGACCACGGGGACATGCCCACCACCCAGGTAGCAGAAGGGACAGCAGGAAGGAGCCTGGTCCAGATGCCACCACTGCGCTGCTGAATCAGCCAGTGCTAGTGTTCCTGTACCTCAGGATGTGAAAGCGGCTGGAAACGGACCCACTGCCAACGTCAGGTAAAATGCAAGAGCCCTGGGGCTGTGTCCGCCATGTGAGCAACTTGCACATTCCACGTCATGCGAGGCCACTTGACAGGTCACCAGGGGAGTAGAGAGAGAGCCCTAGAGATCAGCCACTCATCACAGGGGATGGAAACAAGAGGGCTTCCAAGAGGAGACCCGCTGCAGGCATCTTCTGGAAGGACAGTCCAGTCAACGCCACCGCCCATCTTTCCCTGGCAGCGGCCCCTTACCGTTCTTTTGAGCCAAGGCCTGGTCTATGAAGTCTGCGGCCCTTTCAAAGTAGGCGCTGAGGTTGAACTCTTGCGTGTCGTTGGCCTTGATGCCCAGGTAGGTGATGCCAGAGTCCTTGTAGAAGTTGGCATTGGTGTTGACATGCATGAAGGAGCGGCCCTCGGCCGCGTTCAGGACGTGGGTAATGCCCAGTTTCTGCAGCTTGGGGATATCCTGAGCCACAGACCTAGACAGGGGACAGCAGTGGGGGCTGAGTCACTGACCAGCTGGCAGCCCCAGGGGGAGGAAGATGGGGGAGGTTCCAGGCCTCTTGGCAAAGCGAGGAACCCCCCCGCCCCACCACCAGCCCCCGTCGGCCTTTCCAGGCTTGTCTTATGACCTTGCACCTCACCCAGTCATCTCAGATTGCCAGTAGGCTCCCCAAATAGATCAGTGGTTTCATGGCCACGTGGTTCCCTCTGCCCGGAATGCCCTTCCTCACGCACTCCATGGCCAAGCACACTCTTATCTTCCACCGCCCTCTGTAGCATTTCTCATCTCCCTGCAACCCCTGCTCCCCATCCCAGGGCGGCGGAGAAGCCGAGTAACCATGCCTGGGTCTGAATCCAGCCCAATCCCAAGCCAGGCAACCTTGAGCAAGTCACTTAACCTTTGTGTGTCTCAGTTTCCCTCTCTGCAGAACAGGGATGTGCCTCCACTTTGGGAGGTTATGGGTGTCAAATGGGCTATTCTGCCAACGGAGTCTGACTCCGTGGCGAGCACGGCTACTCTAATGCCGGACTGTGCTCTGTGTAGGCATCTGGGCTGCGGCACTGGAGAAAGGAACCGTGTCTGTTTCAGGTCTGTTTCCTCAGCACCTGCTATGGTACCGGGCACATGGCAGGTACAAGCCACCGGGGAGTGAGAAGAGGTCCCATCCCGCCCACAGAGTGAGCCTTCCTGCCACACCCACTGGCCACGTTTTGAGGCTCTCTTGGGTGAGTTAGCACTCAGGGGGTACAAGGCCCCAACGGAGACACAGGGCCTACGAAATGACCTGAATGGTCAAAGGCCCCTTTACACTCACTTCGTAAAACGTTTCAGTTCCAACAGCAGTGGAGGCTTTCTAACACGCCACCCCCTGTGCAGTCTGGGTTGCCTGGCACAGCAGCCCCATGGGGAGGATGGACAGCTACCTCCACACCACAGAGCTTAGATTCTGGCCCGACAGGACAGGTGGGGGACATGCATGTGTTCCCGCAGCTGCTGACGGTGGGGCTAGAAGGAGACCGCCCTTCTCCTGACACCCAGGCCTGCTCTGTCTCCCTCTCACTCTGCCTCCCAAGCCTACAGCCACTGCAAAGCCCTGAGACCTGGGAAACGTGGCTCACCCAGATTCTGAGGATGCGATGTGAGACCTGGTTTTGCTAAGAGGCTCCAGGTGGGTAGGGGACCCAAGTGGCCTCGGTGCTTGGTGCTCAGTCGATCCTCCCTGCTGAGCAACCCCACAACCCTGGCCAAGTCAAGGCCAGGTTTGCTGGGAGGGCAAGGGATGCGTTTTCTACAGTGGCCATCGGCACTTGCCACTGTGGTCGCCATCAGGCGTGCACAACCTTGGTTTCCACTTGGGAAGTGGTGACAGGTGAATGGCCAGACTGCCCAAGCGAGTGGGTTCCGGAAGCTGCCAGAGTCTGCTGGCTGCTTGGGTAGTTGGGGCAGGGGCGGGTGTCCCCAGAACTTGGCAATGACTGGGGCCTTTGGTGATACCACAAGACTCTGGTTTCAGGGGTCCCTACTCAGAATGCTGCCCAAGACTGTAAAGCAGTAGTTGCTGGAAAAACACCTTGAAGAGCCATCTCCCCCTTCTCTAACACATATCCAACATTCAACACATCTACCACTATCATATGACTACAAGACATGGATGAACACCATACAGGGCCCAGCACACGGAAGGAGCTCACACTGGTAAACGAGAGATGGAAAGGGTGCGCCCTGTCCCTGTGAGGCTGGGCCTGCCTGAGGGGCCCCTTCTAGCTCCAGGATGAACCTCATTTCTGGAGTCCTTGGCAGGTTAAGCAGCAGGTCCTAGCAGAGGTTGGGGGGTACAGGCACGGCCTAGACATGGACCCTGTCCTCACAGTCCCTCACCCACTCTGGGCCACCATTTCCTCCTGTGTGAAATGAAAGGGCGCGTTAGTTCTGAGTTTTCAACGTTCCATCCTTGGGCTGGGCCCATGGAATTCGGGACTGCGGCAACTGAATCCTCAGAGTGCTGAAAATCCCACCAAGCCTTCCCAACGCAGACTCATCTTTCCTGGGGCAGGTATTTCGGCCCCAGAAATACACGGGTTCTCTCCTGCTGCTGACAAAATTCTTACTAGCAGTTGGAACGACAGAAAATGGGGAAGTCAATCTGGTAAGAACTTGTAAGTGATAAATAATAAATGCATTTCCCGCGGTGAAAGGCCTGTCCTAGGTGACGGCTCAGGCTTCTCCTTGGATCGTTCTAGACTCTCACGGAAGGTGGGAGAAGGGACCGGGAAGTCCGCGCCCAGCGCCCTGGACGCCTTCGTGGGCGCATTCGGATCCTCTGCTCTGGGCCCGCGGGCCGGGAAAATTCCACGCCCGAACGGTGACGTCGGCCCGTTGCCATGGCGGCGGGGGCAGACCTTCCGCGGTGGCCTCACTGCGGAACCAGGCAGCGGTCACATGACGCGCGGGCGCCTCC